CGTGAATACTCTCCAAAACGGACATTTAAACATAATGTTGTGTGTATTTGTCCATTCAGACAGAGAAACAGAGCTCAATTCATTACTCGCGCGCTGTATAGGGCTCTATGGCTGCACGCTTCGGGTCGGGTGTGTGCGCACAGAAAGATGAGACATGATACAATATGAAAAATTCATACAATATGAGACTTTCTTCTATCCTTTTCTTTTGGTATAGAATAAAATACCAGTTCGGCTTTCCTCTTTCGGCTGTTGTTGCAGCCAACTGCACAACATGTTGCAGGCATTATTGGGTCGTCAAGATGGCGGCGTAAAGCTACAGTGACGTCATGTGAACCGAACGAATTGGGACTTTGGTGGCTTCACTTTTCACCAATGGAAGAGAGTGAAGGGACGTCGTCCATCTTTTTTTACAGTCTATGATTCATAGTAATATGAGTGCACCGTCTTTGTATATCTAGTCTTTAGAACAGTTCTTAAAATTTCAATAGTAATAAATCATTTTAAAGTAATTCAAGTGTAATTAACCGGTCTCTGTTAACTTACCTGGCTTGTCCACAGTATCGTTAACGTTAACTGTGCTGGTTCTCTTTCGGCGGGGGAACTGCTAGCAGCTAACTTCAGACCGCTGGCCTTCATTTCACAACCTGCCCATAAACAAACAGTGAACATTTCTTACAACATATTTAAATATCCAAGGTAATTATATTCAGTATCTTAAAAAATAAGTTATTTGTTTTATGCAAGGCCAGGGATTAGGCGTTTCCATCACGCGAAAAGGCCGATGCGATAAAATCGTTTAACTTAACGTTAGGTGACCGACGTAACTTACTAAAAGTTATGTTGCTTCGCATAAAAAAAAACGATTTACAACACACTACCGATTTTATAGATTAAATAAAACATACACAAACCAGTGTTTTACCGTAGAAATGGACCAATTCGGCGGAAATGAGAACTGCCCTCTGAAGAAGATGGAAAAAGCCCGCTGAACCGTTGGGGTTACGTCAGAGCCGTGGGGGGAGGGGCGCAGTTGTTGCCTTTTTCAAGTCGTGAGACTCGTGACTCGTGATTACCAGTTTGTCGCATAATAAAACTTAAGTCGCTTTGTTGTGGAAAGAACAGGAATCATGGAGGACACCAGGTTTATTCTTGCCTATTTATTAAGAAAATCTTATTAAAGCCTAAATTATATTTAGCGTCTCATTAATTGAAAACCATATAAACATTCGCTATCAGATTGCTAACGATTATAGATCTTCGGTCAAATACCCAAGGCTATTTTTGCTGTGTATAATACACACAGAATATTATTATATATTTAGCCTTGCACTACTTTAAGGACAAGACAAGGTGATGTTAGCGGTTGCGGGGAAAAAATGTAATAAAGAATAGCAGTCACAGCAGCAATCGTTCTCCCCAATGATGTTTGCCCATCTCGGATCCCCGAACTTTTCAGTGGTAAATACGACTTGAGAGGGCGTTCATGTCAAAATTTTAACTAGGAAACTCGTATTATTTATTATTGTGCTATTTTAAAAGGCACTGAGAGTAGCCTCGCACCGCTGACCGTCAATTCTTAAATTCTATCCACAATTGGTGATGTGAAATTCAAATGCTTTATTTTGCATATGCAAAGTAGGCCAAAAAAAATTGCTGAAAAAATTGATAGGCCTATGGAGTGGAAAGAGCACTTTATGATGCAGAACCATTCCTAATGAACCTTTCCCTTATTTATGATATAAAAACATGACAAATAAGGGAAAAAAAACTAAAACTTCAGTTTAGTTTAAAAATAAATTAGCCTATTAAAAACATTCTAAAAAGGATATGTTGGAGGAAATTCAGATAGTTCTTCGGGTAAATGCAAGATTAATCTGTGAACTCCAAATAGTAACAGCCATAAATGTATGCTATTTTTTTCTGAGACTATAAATTCGTATTATTTTATATAATAGTTGTGTATTATTAGCCGTAGACTGTATTAAGCCCAGTAAATCATTGCACCGTCACATAGTCACCACGCGGTGTCGCTGCAAACTAAGCAACAATTCCCCATCAGCGTTCAAATATCCAACGGTGCTAAACGCACATGAAACACCAGTCCTTTTCTTCCGAACACTAGACTTTATTTATTATGTTATATTTGTTTATATTATAGAAAATGATAAAATATGCATTTATTTATTTTTTATTTAATGTCTCCGTGTGCCACTGTTGTATTAAAGGCTATGTTTGGAAAAAGAAGACCTGCACTTCAGTTAATCATGATTTTGCTATTATTGTCATTCATTGCGAATAAACATCACGATATAGCTACATAAAAACAACTTTGACGATCAAAAATGAACCAGGCTTGACTTTACAAACCTAAGCCAGTCTATTAGAATAGCCTAAGCTATAGTTTCAGTAACATTTGTGTGTGTTTGTAAAATGTGGTTATATTGGGAAAATAATGTCGTAATACAAAATAAATGAATAACATATGACTCCGAATCGGAATTTGACTTAAATTTGTTATATTCCACCGATGTGTTCTTGATAGGTTTGGATGTTAAGCATATAGATGTCTGTTAATCATTAACTGATTAGAAAAGTTCGTGTTGTTACCATAGACCGGCTTCTCACGTGCACTATTCACCTGACTAATGACTATCCGAATGAGCGGCGCGCGCGCACCGGGCAGGCACATCTGCAGTGACGTCATGTCGAACCTCCCAGTCTCCGTCCTCGCGCTGCCAGTGTGTGAGTTTGAGTTTGAGTGCTGGCTGGCTCAGATCCGGCTTCAGTATTAAAGGCTGCAAGTCTCCTGCATGCGCACCGGTCCAATGTGCATTACTGTTATTATTCATCTCTGGTGAATCAAAGATCACGAGACCAAACAATAAGCCATCACACACGCTGGAAACTTGAACAGTTAAACATGAGCTGAGTTACACAAACTTATTCAACAACTTTTTTCATATTTTGGAGATGAGTGCATGGAGTTTTTTTTTCATTGCATTGCTGATGCAGTGAGTTCATGAAGAGTTTTTTTTTTTTTTTGGTGCTGTACAAGGGCACAACTACATTTGTTGGCATGAGAGGTAGAGAATGGCTTGAAGCGAAACGAGAGATTTGCTGAAGAATGCACTGAAGTGGATTCAAATGAAGATTTCTACGGTCTGCATGTGTTCAACAACAAAAAAAAAGATGAAGACGGTAATTATAATTTCTTACGGTCTTTCAGACAGGAGGATAGTCTGGGCATTCCCAGTGGAGTTTGCATAGAAAATGTCAATGCATGACAATTATAACGGAGTCTGTTTTTAATAGTAGCCTTTGTAATTGCTTTATCTCAAGCGACAACATTAATGACTACTTTATCAAGCAATTAAAAAAAAAGAAAAAAAATAGAGTCCCTTGGTGCACATTTGTAGTCCTCTGACTGGGCTTGTGTGTTTTTATTTCAGCGGTCAGTGTAATAGTGTTGGGCAGTTGCCAGCTGTCTGGGTCAGACACGTTTTAGACTCGAGCTGCTGTCTGAAGGAAGCCGCTTTATTAAACTCATGAATGTTCGTCTGCACAGTTCTGCCGCTTCTGCTGCGATAGTAAGAAATACACGCAAAAGAAGGTGATATACAGGATATATCTGTTGGAACTGGACGACTCTTCTGCTGGATGTTCTAGAGAAAAGCCGGCATTTGATCTGATGTTCATCCGGTGAGTAACTTCTTGAGTTGCTTTTATTTTTATCACTTAGAGCTATGAAACATTGAGTCAAGCAATGGTACTGTAATACAGTCATGCTTGTGCTTATTATGATTGACAGACAGATAAATAGATAGATAGATAGATAGATAGATAGATAGATAGATAGATAGATAGATAGATAGATAGATAGATAGATAGATAGATAGATAGATAGATAGATAAACAGACAGACTCATGTTGTTCCAAAACTGAATGACTTTCTTCTGTGGAACATAAAATGTCAAATACAATGTTTTGGAAATGTGGTTGTTTCTTTGTTCTGTTGGTAAACTGGTTAGTTACCAACATTCTTCAAAGTATCTTCTAAAAAATGCATACAGGTTTGGAACGACATGAGTGTTAGACTGTTAGTAAATGTTGACAGAATATTAATTTTTTGGGTGAACTATCCCTTTAAGTCACACTTTAAAAAAGTTTAATTTTGTGTCAGAAATAACAATTTAAGAAATTAAATAAATATAAAAATAGTAATATGCTTTTCAAAATGAAAATATTTTGACACTTTCTGGATGTCAGTAGTTAGCGGATCATGTTCTGCACCTGTGGTTTCTCTGATAGGACACCTGTGTGAACTTGAGAACTGGCTTCATAAATCCACTAAAATCAGCTTGAGACCAGATGATAGTACTACAACACTGCAAAAAAAAAGGGGGGGAAAACGCCTCAGAAACCTTCTGTTAAGAGCTCTAGCAGCATTCGAGTGCAGATGACACTTTATTTCATACTTTGTACATTAAAAAAATACTTGTGGGTCCCATTTACACATCAACAAATGTTGCAAAGTTCAAACCGGCTGGTGAAACTTCAGTCTGATCATCCAGTCATGTTATTTGTAACAGGTTTTAATGCCTTAAATCGGAAACAGGCAGGGCAGCTAATAGTCAAGTGCAGGTGTGAAAATGATAACCTGAAGTTACGGCATCCCACTCAACACCTATGAGCTCACCATTATGTGTGTGTGTGTGTGTGTGATCAAACCTGTTCAAGTCCAGATGTTACAGCTGCGGAATTGCAATCTGCTCTTGATGTTTGATGAGACACAGTTGGAACTTTTAGGAACATTTTGTAAGATTAGAAACTGGCAATTTTCCACTGACAAGGTTTTTTCCACTCTCATTCATTTCCAGGCAAACAAATGGATCGTTCGGGACAAGCTCCTAATATAGATCTGCTGCTCTGGAATAACATGAAGAGAGTTCTTATGGATTCTTGCCCCGCTCATGGCTGACAAAAGTGCAGGCACAAGTCCTTCCTAGAGACTTTACCTTTAGGAAGACTTTTTAAACCTGGGATTAAGTGTGAACTGAGATTCGAATGTGTCGAGGATGCTTGTCACGGATATGTTATGGTGCGAAGCTGGATTGATCATATCGCTTTAATCCACTTGTAGCCTGCCCCGACCCCCCTACCCCCACACCCATGTCAGATCTTCCCTAAATTATGGAACTTTTTTGGAAGACGCTGACTTGGATATTTAGCCTGGTCTTGGCCGCTGCTGAATCTCAGATCCTTTCATACAACTCTCAAGGTAAGTTTAACAGAAAGTGATGACTGTAACAGCTGATATCATAGTTCTGAAGATTCACCAGACAAGCCATAACTCATTTCTGCTTACAATGATGTCATTAGGACACTTTCAGCTCTACCCAGAGGAAACTTTCATTGCTCACTTATGTTTCATGGAAAGTATCAAGCTTGTCTCAGGTGCTTCTCCTAAACTTCCTGAAGAGAAATGAGACAATCATTGACATACTGCAAAAGTACAAAGCTATACAATAAATGTGGGTAGAATAACTGATTTGATCTTTGAAGAAGTTCATGAGCAATATTTGAGTTCATTTTGAACACGGTGTGAGACATTTTTGAGATCTCCCGAAAAACTCTGCAGGAGAAAAATCAGAGAAGCCGAGATGCCTAGTAGAAACACATAAGACATTAAAGAGATATAATTTGTTTCTTTATTATATGAACACATTAGTAAAAGATCTCTTTAATATGTCATTTGTTTCTCTTAGACATCAGTGAGACAAAATAGAGAGCAAATGGAGTAAACCCCTCAGTAATCTCACTATTCTTCTTGAGTATCCAAAAGAGATCTCAACAATGTCTCAAACTGCTCAGATTTGCCCATCCAAAGGGAAATTGTGTTGCTCTTGCATAGCATCAGGAGATGTAACTAGATCTCAGGTAGTTACAGGTAAAGTCATCTTAACACCTTTATCTCAGGTGTTGCTCCTGAAAAACATTTACTACTGGCTTCACAGACAAGGCTTAAGCCTAGTTTGAGACTAAAATGCATGTTTGAGCTGTTTTAACTCAAAGCAACTTGCACTGATATATCTTAAAATATGTCAATGCCATTGTTTTGCCAGATGCACATCAGTAATGTTTTTAATGTTTATAAAAGCTACTTAAATGTTCTAATTAAACTTAATCCTGGTTTAATCTAAGCCCCATCTATGAAACCAGATCTAAGAGAAATTTCATGAAAAACGAGTTGAGACATCTGACTTTCAGCAAATCAAATCTGACCCTAGTTTGAAACAATGTTGTTCTACTTTGAAATGACAAGAGGCGACTTGTGAGACGAGACACATGTGAGATTACTGGGAGAGACATCTAAACACAAAAGTCTCCATTTGGTCTCTTTGAATATCCCTGCTGTGAAGGAGAAACAACTGAGACATTAAAGAGATTGTGCAATCGAATTTAAGAGATTCAGGGCCCTTTCACACCTACCTTGTTTGGTCCGGACTTTCGTACTTTTCAGTTTGGTCCGAATCAAAATTACAGGTGTGAAACCTACCCCGGACCACGGTCCGGACCAAACAGATGAAATTTGGTCCGACGAAAAGAGGTAGTCTCGGTCCGGATCAAACTGAAAAAAGGTTTGGTTTGTTTCTAGTGTGATAGCATTTCTGTATAGTTTGGACTTTCAGACCTTTTACAGGAAGTTCTGGTGGTTCCCGCATAGCCGAAAAAACAGAAGGTGGCAGGAAAAATGAGCCGTGTAGCACATGGGGAGAGGAGGAGACGAGGTTTTTAATTGAAGTATGGTCTGATGACATAATAAGAAGTCAACTTGCAGTCTTCTCCTCCTTTCCTGCCGGCGACGATAAAATGTTCGCACGACGAGGACGTTCATTTGGGGAATTTGAACTAGCCTTGTGTATAGTTGGTGCTGCAGGTAATTATGCCATAAAATAACAATATAGTTGCAACGATATGCGTCTGTTCATTCATGTTGTCAAAGTTACCCGCCGAATTGACAACACGCTGACGTCAGACGCACATCCATTTACAATGTCAATGTCAAGATGCAGCCCACATAGATGATGACGACAGGACGCAAGTATGTCACGTAAAGTTCTTTAGTGCGCTCGCATAATTGCAGTGTGAAACCAATGAACCAAACCAAAACTTTCTGAAAGTATAAAATGAATCAAAACGTGAACTTTGGTTCGGACCTTGGTGCGGACTTTCAGGTGTGAAAACGCCCTCAGACATTTCTCATCAAATTCTTCAGAGACCAAATTACTTTAGCTAAAATATCCACATTCATTTATGTCTATTTTTATTTCTCTAAAGCAGTGGTTCTCAACTGGTTTGGCCTTGGGACCCACATTTTCCCAAGGCCATTATGCCACGACCCAAATTTTTAGGAATTTGAACTAAGCAAATTTATTTCCAAAAAAATGTTTGACGTACACAGTGCTGTCCCACTTTACTTAAAGGCCCCCTGAAATCAAAATGTAAGTTTTTTAGCTTTTAATATGTTAGCCTTAAGGTTATTAATAAGCTGGTGTGTTCTAAAACAATTACAAAATTGCATTTAGGAGATATAAGCATTCAAAACTAACAGTCTCTCACTTCTGCTAAAATGGATCACAGATTTTTAAGACATCACTGCTGTCTTCACATCTTCTGTCCAATCAAATGCTCTCTATAATCTAAAGCTCCACCCCCTATGCTATAAATATCACCTGGCTAAAGCGCCCGTTGACACGTCACGAAGCAATATGGGTTGGAGATGTGTGTTCGGTTGCTCAAACATTCAAGTTTTATTCCGTTTTCCAGCTGTACGTTGGTTAAGAATGAAATGTCTAGAATTTATTCACACCTCTACTATTGAATCCAACGTATCATCAGCGCTCGGATTCACTTCCATGGTGCTGTCAAGTACGACTTGCAGTCTGTGAGGTAAACTAAACGCTATTGGCTATTTGAAAAGAGGGAGGAGCCATTCAATAGGTCCCGCCTTAGCTTCCTGTTTCAGTGGAAATTACATCAACGCATCATAGCTGCGCATTCCAAGGCACTTCAGTGGGCCTTTAAGGTTGAACTTTTTTCTTAACTTGAGCACCTTGTTTTTAGAACACCGTGTCATGCACGAGACACTGCAAAAGACACGAGCACAACGCCAAACGCCCCCGCCTAGTGTGGAACTATGGAATAGTAGCACAGTCAAAAGGAAAACCGTGTTCCGTCTGACAGAAAATCAAAGCCTTTGCAGAAGAGTCAACAGCATTCACACACACCTTTCAAAATAAAAGTACGGTTTGTTGTTGTTTCTTTGACTACACTCGGCGACCTACCCAAAACGGTCTTGCGACCCACTTAGCAGTTAAGAAACACTGCTCTAGTCTAGAGGATTTTTAGGAGAAACATAAGAAATAAAGTTCTTATACTTAGAAACTCACAGAAGCTGTGAAAGATCAACCTCTGAGCAATTAAAGCTTCCTCTGAAAAAACCTGCCACTTACAGTGCTGAAATTGCTTGTTGATTTTTGGTTTACCATGATTACCTTCCTTTGTTTTGCTCACTGTTATCTGCTTCACTTTATTACCCAAAACCAAAAGCGCAATTCCTGTCCACGCTGGAGCACTATCAGCTGACAGTCCCAGTGCGGGTGGATGAGAGGGGCCAGTTCATGAGTTACACTGTGAAGCATTACAGGCCCGGTCGGCGGAGACGTGGACTGGACCAGGCTGAGCTGGATCACACTGAGACCAGGCTTTTTTACAAACTCTCCGCCTACGGCAAGCACTTTCACCTGAATCTGACACTCAACCCCAATCTGGTTTCTAAACATTTCACAGTAGAGTACTGGGGCAAAGACGGACTAGACTGGCAGCATTCAGTCATCGATAACTGCCACTATGTTGGATATCTACTGGATCAATATAGCACTACAAAAGTGGCATTGAGCAACTGCAAAGGCTTGGTGAGTACAGCAGATTTTGAAAATCTTCATGCTTTTGGCTGTATGAGAAGGTAAGTATGCTGTTTTTTTTCAAAATACCTCAGGAAAAGGCACACTGTTTTCTACATAAAAGAACAGATTGGAAATTGTACGTTCACACAGGGATATGAAAGCATGCTGGCCAATGACATGTGGAATATGCATTGCATTTTATTGCCCACATATCTAAAGATCTTCAGCTGAAGTGTTTACTTCCTCAAAGGGCCCCATATTTGCTGACTTAGCCTTTTTTTTTTGATGTGACTGATATGCTGTCCTTACTGTGGATGGTTATTTCTAAACCCGCGAGAATATGTGCTATTCATTTTAGTGATCGAACTTATGAGCTTTATCTGGCAAAAATGCTTTATTTTGCACTCAGAACACCTAGAAAAAAGTAACTGCATTCCAACGACTCAGAATACCTTAATAAATGCATAGCAAAGATATAGTTATAGCCGAAGTGTGTAATTTCTGCAAAAGTAAAGGTTGTTGTCAACCAGGTTTCATGAACACTCCGCTGTTTGTTGGACAAATCGGTAGTCCCGCCCAACCCTCCAGGTATCGGTTCGGTTGCTATATAGGGGAAGCTGATTCCCTTTCTTGGGAATCAACCTACAAATGGCTTCTTTGTAGTTGTCTATTAAGCCTATTAAGCTCAGATAGGAGACAGGATTTTAAAATTGAAAAATGTAGTTCATTGTCCTTGTCAATGTCTTGCTCAGCAGTTTAACTCCAGAGCTTCAGGCCAGCGTCCAAAGTGAGTCAGCGTGTCTATATCACATTAATAAAGCTTAGGCAGCTTCAAGAAACTCATGCTTCATGTGAGAGAGAGAGAGAGAGAGAGAGCTTAAAGCACCTTGTCTGTGTTGCTGCCAGAGTTCTTATCTATGTCCTTGTCTCTGTGTACACGGCTGCTTCTGCTCACTGTTAAAGTGACTGCTGAGTGACAGCAAAATATTAGCTTAGCTGTCTCTCTGCATCGGGCTTGAATCCCTCCTGCACCTGCAAGCCCGTTGCCAGCTGATTCCTATCTCATGCTGAGCATTTCATCTGAAGGGGACTTTGACGTCGCTTGACTAAACCACACTCTACACGGTTGCTGTGAAACATGGCTTCCTGTGATGCGATGTGATTATTGAAATGTTAGATCATGGCTCTGACTAGTATAAACTAGTGTGACTTTTCAAATTTCCCCAACAACTAAATTCTGTAGGAAACTAAAATGCTTTTAATGCTACACAGCTTAACAGCTTAGCATGCTATAATAATAATTAAAAAAAAAAAATAAGAGGCAAAAAAAAAATTGGATTCTGATTGGTCACTTCGAAAAGAAAACGATTAATTAATTTCATTGTGTCATTTATTGAGTCTACATGAGTCTACAGTGAAATTAGCTGACTCTCATTTTCTTGAAGAAAAAATATTTCAACATTTTTGCCCATTCAGTGAAAGTCGGTGGGGTCCGAAACAATATTGGACCCCATTGACCTCCATTGTATGGACAAATAAATAACATTCAGACATTTTTCAAAAGATCATCTTTTTCCAAAGAAACTCATATAGGTTTGGAACAACATGAGTAAAATGTGAACTTTAGCTTTAACACTGTTACCTTTATCTACTTTTCCAAAATGGTAGCTTGACTGTAGTTTAAATACTTTAAATTATGAGTAGCTTGTATCTTGGCAGGCTTCAGTTTTAAAGTAGCTTCCCCAACATTGGAACTTAGATTTTTGTGCATGTTGTGTCTTTAACTTGACAAGAGACTGAGGGGAAAATTCCCAAGCGAGCCAGACCTGTGCAATTACCTTAAACTGGTGTGTTCATGTGGGAGGACAGGCCTCGATATTGGATTCCACCCTGGTATCAGCAGCACCCTCGCATAAATCTATGAGAATTTAGAGTGGCTCTGCTGGTCCTGAGGCATTTCCTGCAGTCACTGTGTCTGCGTGCAAACACAAAACCTTCTCCCTAAACCACTCTGCAGACCTATAGTTTCAGGAGTTCAGTACATAGCCAAGCCTGTAGAGTTTTACCTGAACCCCTGAGTTGGATATCGCAAGAGATAACAAAATAATGATTTAAACAAGTTTCAATACACCTCAGGATCTTTCAGCAGCATTTGTGGCGTGGTGTTGAGTACCACAGCAAATAATGTCCTGTTCCTTAGTTTGCTAAAAACATCTTAATGGCAGTGGTTTGGCTGGCACATGACCCCCGGGAAGCATATGACCTGTTTGCTGCTAATGGGCATTCAGTTTTGGTACAATTTTATGGGCAAATCACTTATAACTTTTGACTATTAATGACTCACACAGATTGGTTGATGGCACCACAAGAACAAGCAGAGGCTTTCAGCAGTAACTAATCTGACCTAGAAATTGAAAAATAAAAGTCGGTTTTACGCTTTAAAGGTAGGGTAGGCTTTTTTTAATCAACCCTTTTCGTTATACTGGTTGAAACTCTTCACATCCTTATAGCAATCAATAATAGAAGTGGTCTAAATATAAAAAAAATGTACATACGTATTCTGTGGAAGTCTCAGGACCAAAAAATGTTGGTCCCATGTTTTTCCATACCATAGACGCAGTCATCACACGTCAAAACAATGAGCTTATGCTGGGTTCACGCCATGTCATAACCGTAATTACGAGATGGCAACCCGTGACGTTCTAGCCGGAGCTGTTCACGTCCTCAGACTCGGATTTATGAGTTTCTATGTCAACACTATCAATACCGAAATTAATCTGCAGCAGTCAGATGGTACAAATCAGAGATCCAAGATGTTTACATTCATTAATTTAATGTTGTGCTTTGAGACATGTGGTAATTTAACTCTGTCTCTCATCTCGTGACGCTTTGCAGACGCTGCTATGTTCGTTCATGTGTTTTGAAGGAGGCGTGGCTTTGGAGACGCTCTGAAGGGAGGGTGTGATCTCATACATCTCATGCATCTTAAAGCCAGCTGGCTATTGCTAGCCTTTCCTACATTGCCTACCCTAACTTTAATGAGTAAAGTTAATAGACCTTTAATGGCAAGTTAATGGCTTTAATAGACCAAAAAATGGGTACTGGTTAAACGTCTGCTAAATTGACTTGCAAGAGCAAAGCACATTTTGTGAAAAAGGAGTTATGACCAAAATCGGGCCTCTTAGATTATGATAGGTCCTGTGACAGACTGTTTTGGCTCATTTACACTTAGGTTGCGAGGAATCAAAAATATAAAAAAGCTATTTTTCTCACAATCAGTGTTGGTGTAGTTACTGCGTTTTGTCTCTATAGAATTTGCTCACAGAATGATGTAGTTACAGCATCTACCAGCATTGGCTATCTGCTGACGCTAACAGGCTAACTTGTAAAAACAAGCAAAAAGTGTTGTTCACAGTAATTCACTTACTATGAACGCCTATGAGAAAAGACATTGCAGAGAGATGTGCTGTTAAATCTTCCTTTCTCTTTCCTTTTTTCGTTTTTTATTGGTGGTCTGTTGGCTAAGTTCCCTGTGTTTGTAAAACTTCTGCACTAGTCTTATGTTCACACTTTTGTTTTGTCTGTTGACAAACTTCCAAAATAGCGTATATTTTAACATTTATTCTGGTCTATTGTTGTCTTGACCCATAGACTTCCGTTGTAAGTCCCTTGTAAACATGATGTTGAGTTTTTACAAACTAAAGGACAAGAGTGAATTATTTTCATTCACATCTGGTGTCAATAGAGTTAAGAGATTGTTTTAAGACATACCAGCCACCCATCTTTCTATTTTCGTTTTTGGCCTCATAAAGGAGTCCTAAATGACCCCAACCAGTTAATTAATCTAATATCATGCATCACAACTGATCTCATCTCATCTCTCAAGTTTGATCTTTCCCAATGGCTGGGATCAAAACTCATTCTGAAAGTAAAAGCAAACTTAATGTTCCACTTCATTAAATCATCCACAAAAGTTTTAGCTTGTAGTCCTTGAGAAATTCCAATCATCTGTGCTTTATCAGGTTCGTAATATTAGCTTTTTCCCCATAATTCCCCTTTAGTTAGAATGGAGAATGAGACAGTTGCAATGATGCTAAGATGTTGTATTATTATTGTTGCAGCCAAAAGTACTGGCTCACTTGACTTAATAAATCGAGATCTCTGCATTGCCTCAGTCATTTTATTGAAACAAAAAAATGGAAAAACAATCCTTTGAATGCCTCAGCAGTTTTCGCCGTGCATCACACAGCATACGGCTTATATCAACTGCGCTTTTGTTTTGCGTGTGCAGCGTTTGCTATTTCTTTGTAAAGATTTAATTGGTCTCATTGTGGAGTTTTACAGACTTGGAGAACATGCCAGAGCGTTTTTTCTTCTTCTTTTTCTATAAACACATTTCTGAGGCACTTTTTGAATTTATGTTAAATTGGGGGTGTTCAAGGGCGCAGATCTGTGTGCTTTGGTTCCTGTCCAGGTAATTACGGTGTTGTTCTTTATGTAATTGGTGGTTTTGAGTGATTTATCTCATTGATTTGTATTGTGGCATGTTTTTGCATTTTCTTGCAATGCTGAATCATATGAAATCACTTGAAATAATATGAGTTATAATTATCTACGTTCTGGTATAATCTAAAGAGACTATTTGTAGAGATGATAAGCATGTGATACAGCCATTAAAATGCTTCTTTTTTTTTTTACAACCATTGCAGATGGAATATTTCAAATCTTGTCAATGAACACATTTTCCTGTGTGCTTTTGGTGTTACCTATCATTTTCTCTTTTCTTATCAAGCATGGTGTCATAACCACAGAGGACGAGCAATATTTAATAGAGCCATTAAAAAATATATCCAGAAATTTCAGTGATGTCAACCACGAAGGACAACCACATGTTATTTATAAAAAGACTTCCATTCCCTCTCCACAAGAGCCAAGCGAGGAGTTCAGCTGTGGTGTTTCAGGTTGGTAAACCTCCATTTGGCCACATTGTGACATAAACAGCTATAGATAGCAGTTTAGGAAATGATGGTCAGTGGTTCAGGTTTTGGCTGAAGTCTCTGCAAACAGCCTCGTTGAGTGAAGATCTACTCTAAAGTTCAGCTGAACCTCATTTTTACTGAAACAACTGAACTGCTAATGAATCATTTTTTGATGAAAATGTGAGTCATATTTGTTTTCTCCAGACCTCACAATAAGCAGGACACCGTGCTACGATACCAACCCTGAAGAAAACCCACCGTACCCAGTCCCGGGCAGCGACAGCTCGACGGGTGGCCATCGCCAGCGCCGGTCCGTCAGTTCTGAACGCTTTGTGGAGACCCTAGTGGTGGCGGACAAAATGATGGTTGGCTACCACGGTCGCAAAGACATCGAGCACTACATCCTGTCTGTAATGAATATTGTAAGTTTGGTCCTGCTTTTCTCATGCGTGTTTGTCTCAAATGCGTGTTCAATACCTTTTTAAGGGAACATCGGAAGAACTCGAACAGCATTTGGCTGACTTTGTGTCTTTTCTTCTTTTCTGGAGGTCAGGTTGCCAAACTTTACCGCGATGCCAGTCTTGGAAACGTTGTGAACATTATTGTAACCCGACTGATTGTTCTGACAGAAGATCAGGTTAGTGTTTTTAATGTGATGGAGAAGTTTTAATGCTAATGTGATTCAGAAGTCTTAAAGAAATAGTTCACCCAAAATGTCAATTCTGTCAGTGTTTGCTCAACCTCATTTTGTTGCAAACCTGTATGACTTACTTTCATTTTTGGAATACAAAAGATGATATTTTGAAGAACATTCATCTGTCTGAAAATCAATGGGGTCTAATGTTGTTTTGGACCCCACTAGCTTTCATTGTATGGACAAAAAACGACAATACAATACAATTTTTTGTGTATTTTATTTTCAGAAAAATTAAAGTCATACAGGTTTGGAATAATAACAAAATTTTCATTTTTGCGGTGAAATATCCCTTTAACTTTTTTTGCATTGTTCTGCAAAAACAAAACATTTAAACAGTTTACATCTGCTTTTTTGGTTTTGCAAAAGGTCATTGTTTTTCAGCAGCACTTCCCAAGACTAGGCTAGGTGACCTTTTCTCCCTAGTCTCACGCACATGCATACTATTCCTCGTTCTTGTCTTTTGTAGAACCTTTGAGTATTTTTAGAAGCTTAGAAACACACCTCACAGTAGTCTGCTGTTTTATTGGCCTGAATAAGACAGATGGAAACATGAATCGTCGGACCACTTTTAAAGATAAAAGTTATTCGAACAGATATGCCTAGACATTGTCCCACAGGGAAACTTTGTAAAAGATTTTACATTCATGTCTTTAATGAAAGAGCCAGGGCGTTTGTCTATGTTTTTTTTTGTTTTTTTTTTTGTTCTCGGAAGAGTCAAATAACTCTTCTCAGACTGGGAAACCAACCAAAAGATCCAACTACCACAAAGATGATGTCATTAGAGCTACAATTCACATTGTACCAGCCAAATAATATATATAATATATCATATAAAATAACAACTCCACAAACTGAAGCATCATTTTGTTATATTGTGACTTCATTTCAAAATCCAGTGGGTTGGATTGTGTCGTCTTAAACAAAGTTTGATATGTTACATTGGTGTTCTGTGTTGCAGCTCAACTTGGAGATAAACCACCATGCAGACAAATCTCTAGACAGCTTCTGTAAATGGCAGAAATCCATTCTTTCTCATCAGGGGGATGGAAACAGTATCCCAGAGAATGGGATCGCCCATCACGACAATGCTGTGCTCATTACAAGGTCGGTTACTATTATTTCCATCTGATTTTAAGGGTAGTTAATGATTGAGGTTGGGAATATGGTTAGGACTATGTTTGTTTGAAAGGAATGTTCTTCCAGGGCCCAGATGGAAGACACCAACACTTCATCTGTTTAAAATCATGTTTGATGACAAACATTCATTTAGCCAAAATTTGGTAGATTAGGTTAGTATATCCAAAAGAATTTTACTACGTTTTTTTTTTTTTTACTACGGGTGTGGATTTTCCCCAAACATTCTTGTAGCAGATGACCAATCACAACACACTGATCCAGCCGACCAATCAGAGCACATTGTGCTTTTCAGAGGAGGGGCTTCATAGAAACAAGAACTAAACTGAGCCTTACTGACAGACTGGGAAGGGAGGTGCTGCAACAATGGAGAATATGTGAAAAAAAAATGTTTTTGAACAGTCAAGCATGAAAATCTATTCTAGTAGAGCCCAAAAACAAAGATTGGTTTCACTTTATTTGGATGGTCCCTTTAACACATTCAGTTGACTATAAGTAACGTTGCACCTACATCTCTACTAACTCTCAGTAGAGTATTAGTAGAGTATTAGTAGACTGGTAGGGTTCGGGTTAGAATAAGTTGACATGTAGTTGCAAAGTTGACATGTAGTTGCAAAGTCAGAATAAAGAGTTAGCAGATATTAAGCAGACAGTCTACTAATACTCTAATGAGAGTTAGTGAACATGTAGTTGCAAAGTTACTTATAGTCAACAGGATGTTCAAAAGGGACCATCAAAATAAAGTGTTACCCAAAGATTTTGTAAAAGGGCATAATAGTAGGTCCCCTTTAAGAACTAAATTGTCATTACAGTTGTTTCCACAAAACCCCTGCCAACAAACATGTTACCGTCTCGTTGAAAATTGTTTTTATTGACTTTTTTGACTGGAGGTTGTCTTTTTCACTTCCTCTACGGATTTTCCTTCAGTCTATGTTGTTAAATACAGACCCTTCTGAATTCCCTGCCTTAATTCATTATGTTTATTCAGAAGCCAAAAAATGCCTTACAGTAGTTTGTTTCAGTGATTAGTTTGTGGGCGATGAATCTGTTAAATGGCAGACAGCTCTGCGATTTTAACATTTTTTACTAACTTCCTCAATTTAGCTCAAATTAGAGAAGAAAGGCTTGTTTTAGGGCTAGCTGACATTTTGGCATTCGAGTTTGACAGTTTGTACTGGAAACATATATTGGGTGGGTAATTTACAACTGAGACTAAACTGGTTATTAATGTCATTGTTAATTGCTGTTCACTGGTGCATGACTGTGTGGTTTGGACAGGTGTGAGCCTTGACGCCGTCAGCTGATACTGTAGACGTCACTCCTTGAGCAGAGGTTGTTGGATGTTTCTATTTATAGATATAATTTGTTTAACTTCGTAGTGTTTTGCTAAACACGTGGAGGCCAAACACCTTTTTGAATTGACTGAAACAGGCGGTGTGTCTGACGCTAGTCTACAGAAAGTTTCATTTTAGGTTTATTCTTCTGAACAGACAGAAATCTGCCAAAGTAAGCCGGGCGGTAAACAACTAGCCGTTGTCCTGCTAATTTCTGGCAGACTGAGTTTTGAGTCTGGCAAACAAATGCTACTGGTTCGCCGCTATAAATGGATTTCGTTCTGAATTAAGTGCAGCTTTAAACTTTAGTCAGAGTTTTTCTTTTACAAAAAAAAGGCTTGTGTCGTCTTATACTACATGTGGTGGAGGAATTGACATACTTCAGTCAAATATAAATGACTCCAAAGTTCATATTGTATTCTTTGGATCTACAGTTATTGTTTTATGAGATCTGTTCTGATTATTTGAGGCTTTACTCAAGAAAATGAACAATAGTTTAAGTGAAACACTGAATAGCTATTAAATCCAAATCCAAGAATGTTCATTAGTCCATATATATAGACATGCATTGCAGATTTTTTGTTGTCTCCAACCTATTTTTTTTCTTTTTCTAGTCTGAACAGAAAAAACATTTATTAACAAACTCGATCCAGACCACTTTGATATGTGGTTTGCAATCTGTCTCAGTCTGAATGTTCAAATTGGAGTTCTTTAAAGAAACATTTATTTATTAAAAATAAAGTATTTTTTTTTAAATCACACATTCTTGCTGTTGTGGATTGTGACATTAACTTGTAGTTACGTAGTGAATGAGTGACTGAGTCAGTGATTTTTGGACCCAGCTGCATACCGTTATATGCATAAATATGCATAAGAGCGAAATGTCATGATAGACATGAGACCATTTTCAGTGTCGGCTACTGTTCTATTAGAAAATCATTTGACATACACCGGACATCAACTACACTGTATGAATGAACAAATCAGATTTCATCAGTCCAAGAATGAATTTGAAAAATAAATCTGATTTATGAGCCTTATTTACGCAAAGGCTAATGTGCTGATTAGCTTTGTGTGGTCGGTGTATAATTGAGTAACCCTGCAGCGATGTGATTTTATGACTATAGCAGTGCTTCATTTGGAGACATTTATATGGGGTGAATTCATATATGACTAATGATAGCCTGGAGGAGAGCTTAACAATCAGAGTGGTGTTCCCTTGAAAGCCTTTTAAAGTAAACACAGCATACCATACAACGTAATGACTCTACTCATTAGCTCTCTAGCCAGTTGTGATTATTTGTTTATGTTTGGTGAACATCACAACTTGTGTTCTTGGAACACTAATAGCTTACTATAGTTCTAACTAGTCATGCAACAATAGTTTACTAAAATGGTTATAGTTGCAACTTACTGTACAATGTTTACTACAATTTCAAAATGTTACATGTTCTGTTTGTGTTTGGACTTCCTGGGCCCTATTTTAACGATCTGAAATGCAAGTGTCAAAGCGCAAAGCGCAAGTAACTTTGTGGGCGGATCCCGGCGCTGTTGCTATTTGCTATTTTCCCGGCGGGATAAATGCCTCTTGCGCCTGGCGCAAATCTAAAAGAGGTTGGTCTGAAGTAGCTTCATTATTCATAGGTGTGGTTTGGGCGTAACGTGGAATAAACCAATCAGAGCGTCATCTCACATTCCCTTTAAGAGCAGGTGCGCATGTTGCATGGCGGATTGCTATTATAACGGCGGATTCACCAGGCGCGCGTCAGGAGCGGTTCACAGCCGAGGAGACAGACGTTCTTGTCAGGACCGTGAAAGACAGAGAAGTGACGTTGTATTGCGTGTTTTGCGTGCACCTGTAAACTATGGCATAAACCCTCATGCAGTAACACCCTCAGACGGCACTGTTTATTGACTGTCTGGAGTAGAATGCATGCAGAAATAACAAGAAATTCAACGTTCAAATCAGACTTATCTATCTATTTATCTCTCTATCTATCTATCTATCTATCTATCTCTCTATCTATCTATCGTGGGTGGGTTTCTCCCATCCCCATACAAATCAGCGTCGGTTTAACAGGCGTGGGAGGAAAAAAACTAAATTTTCATGGACACCACAATGATTTCCCTCATGTGTTAATATTTTTCCTTGTTATAATGTATGATTTGCAAAAATAAAAACTGCTGCATCTGTGTTGATGAGAGAATCAAAGTGTATGCGCGTTGTGCACCCGCTACATTATGGCCAAGCATGCGCGCTTAAAATAGCATAATGAACAACGCGCAACGCGCCACTGACTTTAGACTAGTTTTTTCTGGTCAGTGGCGCACTTGTTTTATAGAACAGCAAAATAGCATGAGGGAAAGTTTGCGCCGGAACACGCCTCCTCTTTGCGCTGAACCGCCCCTGGGAGCGCAAGTGTATTTCTTAGTTAACCGACGTGCGTCTGTGGAGGGAAAAGTCCGCTTTGCGCGGGTGCAAAATAGGAATGATACATGCGTCAGTGTACAAAGTCATTTGCGCCGAGTGCAAGATAGAGCCCCCTGTGTTCATTTGTTCTTTTCCCGCCACTCCTTAGTTGCCATGGACACCTTAATCAGTCATTGTCTCGTTAGTCTTGTCAGCTGTGTCGTGTTTCTTTGATTGGCCCCTGTCTATTTAAGCCCTGTGTTTTGTCCTGTTCAGTTGTCTGTCGTCGTTGATGTTGGTCCGGTTGCTCTGTCCCGTGTGAGAGATTTCCTAGTATCTCGAGTATTTCTGTAAGTTTGAGTTTATGATTAATAAAGACTGCTGCATATAGATCCTGTTTCCTCGTTGCTGCATCCAGACACGCAACTGAAGAGTCGCAATAGTTTATAAAGTTTACTAAAATTGTGGCCGCTGCTGTAGTTTATGATTGTGGTGGTTACAATAGTTTATGAAATTTGCTATATTTAACTAAACTATCACTATGTAAACAACCGCAATATCACATTTCAAGTAAACTGCTGCAAATATTGCAATTTTTTGTAACTTTGTAAGTTGTTAAAGTCCCCCTGTAGTCAATTTTATCCCTTAAACTAATCTTTGATCACCAAAATTACATATTTAAATGTTTTTCCTTGGGGAAAAAAATGTCTTCATGCTTAAAAATAGCTTGAATGTAACTGGACACCCTTGCCTCATTTAGTATATGCAGTTCTATGAATATGCAAATGAGCCACACCTCCACTCACTCCAGCTCAGAGATCCACTCATTGACGATCACACGTTGATCTGATTGGTTACAAGGTAGTTTGTGGTCAGAAACACCAGCGATTTCAAATCGTGTTTTTGAGACTGTCTTTGGTTCACTGCAGTTTTAAGGAGAAAATACTCCGCAATGGTGTTGACTCATGAAATTGTACATGGTTTGTCTTAAAGCATATTAAAAACATTACATAGACAAAACAACATTTAAAAGCTTGATTTTCACCACAGGGGGACTTAAATTATCTTAATTTTAGTATTACCGTAACTATCACACTTTTAAAAAGTTTGTTAATGAACGCAAGAATCCTACTTATAGTAAATCTCTAAACTATTGTAGCTATCACAATTTTAGTAAACTTTGACTTCTGCAACAATTTTAGTTGCAACTTTCACAATTGCAGCAA